TTTTTTAATAATTTGTACAAATCTAAACAGTTTTTATTCAACGATTTCAATTTTAAAATTGGTTTGACAGTTCATTCTCGATCAGCTGTTACGGAATGTTAACATATCATGGTAGAAGAATATAGGCAGCTGCTGGGACAATGAACTGTCAAACCAATTTTGGAATTGAAAATGTTGAATGAAAAAAAATATTTAAATTTATTAAAATTGTTGAAAAACGAGTATTTTAATAACCTCCGATGGACGTCGTATAAGGAAACATATAAAAACCCACTTATATTTGAAAAGAAATTTAAAATTTTTTGACATATCAATTTTCCTAAGCGTTGATGCATTTACCTGTATTCTTCTACTATATCAACAAACGTGCTACGTTTACATCTGAGCCCTTCATCGTGATTATTGATCTATGTCCCAAGATACATGCAGTAATTTCATAGAATAAAATTTTCGTGGAATCATGCGTTTAAGGCGGAAATTCGCCTCCTACTAAAACGCCTAAAACAAAAAATGTTCCTTCCTATGCAGTTACTCTGTAGAACGGGACTATGACAATTTGTATGACGAATGACACACAGTGTCATGGTAGAAGAATATAGGAAGATGCATCAACGCTTGTTAACATTGATATGTTAAAAGCTTTTAAAAGTTATTCTTAAAAATTAGTAGATTTTTATATGTTTTCTCATACGACGCCAATCGGAGATTGTTATGATTTTCATTTTTCAACAATTTTTACAAATTTGGACAATTTTCCATTCAAAATTTTCAATTCCAAAATTGGTTTGACAGTTCATTGTCCCATCAGCTGTATCGATGCGTCTACCTGTATTCTTATACCATGTTCCATACACTGTGTGTGTCATTGTCAAAGGGTGTCATTGTAAACCTGGCATTATTCAATCCCCCAAAAATCCCCTGCCACAGCCCTTAATACACAAAAAATATTAAAAAATAAACATATCTACAGACAACAAATCAAGAAAATAAACTTTAAAATGCAATATTTTAGATAAAAAGTTTTAACAGAAAAAACACAATTAAAATATTAAAGAACTATAGAAAAAAGAAGTAATATTTAAAATACTATTCTGTAGCTCAACAAGAACAACAGTAAATAAAAAGTAACAATCTTCCACCAATCAAGAAACAGTAATACGTACACCCTGAAATATGTAAGGTGTCATTGTTCAAAAAAACATGACATATAATGAAATTCCTATACTTTTTCATATTTTATCCGTTACATATAAATAACACCAAAGAATGTTGAAAAAGAAATAGTGAAAACCACCAACAAAAATATATGTATGTACAATTCCAAAGCTATTTTGATACGGGTAAAATGGGCTTGAAAGTCTTAAATGTATAAAACAATGGTAGAAGTATCAAGCTACCCTTGTGTCATGGTACAATTACCAAGGTAATCACATGCACATGAGGTGGGAATACATAAAGCTCTTATTTGGCTTCGGAAATGAACAAAAGAGCCTAGGGCCAAAATCGAACTAAGTCAACCTAAAATTCCTTTGTTCCTCTACGAAGAAACCAGCCGATGACTTAAACCAGTCAAATATGCGATTTATGTATTTCCACACTTTTGCGATTAAAACTTTCTTATTTGTCCATAAACTGACAACTGGCCGCACTAAAATCCTGCCGTCGTTTTCCTTTATAATTTGACATTAATATGCCTAGGCATGACTTCAAGCTTTTTATGTACTTGCACCTTTAAGCCAGCCAAATATGCGTTTTATGTATTCCCACCCTTATGCACTTAAAATTTTCTTTTTTGATGCCCATAAATTGTCAAATGTAAATTTTGTAGTTCTTCCTTTAATGTAAGCGTACAGATGGCAAGAAATTTTTTTTCTCCGAATTTTTTTTGTAATTTTCAATATTTTTGTAGTTTTAATTTTCTCAAAAATATTTTGTAATTTTCACGAATCTTAGTCAAAGAATAATATAATATCTGAAATATAAAATAAATAAAATATGTAAGGGTACATAAGCAGCTTAGCATCACGGCTAGGCATATTAATGTCAATTTATAATGGGAAACGACGGCAGGATTCGAGTGCGGCTCTCTCTCTCTCTTTATGATATGTCACAAAATATGTCATGCGAAGACTTGGACATGGTAGAATCAAGGAGGTAAATTTATGCAATCATATGTTTACAATTTTTTCAAAAATATTTCATTTGGCAACATATCTTTGTCAAAATTTGTGTTTATAAATCCATTTTACATACCCAAATAAGAGATGGGAACCTGTTTTTATGTAGTGAAATGTGACAAGTTAAATTACAAAAAATGCAGAGATGGGAATGTTAATTTGAAATGACTTTTCCTTCTTAATTTTACCATGATTATGGAATGGTTGAATTTTGTTTCAAAATGAGATTTTGTGGTAGCGATAATATCGCGGCTTGTTTTGCTATAATACTTGTAGAAAATTGTCATCCAGAATTTTCCGTCGAATTGACCTTAATTTCATTGTTTTGTTTTTTTCAAATATAAGTAGATTTTTATATGTTTTCTTATACGACGTCATTCGGAGGTTATTATAATTCGCGTTTTTCAACAATTTTTACAAATTTAAATAATTTTTCATTCAACATTTTCAATTCCAAAATTGGTTTGACAGTTTATTGTCCCCAGGATATATTCTTCTACCATGTCCCAATTAGCAATGGAATATTTGTACACACTTCTTGATCAAAATTCAGGTGCGTTTACATTAGCCATAAACTATAAAACTGAAATAAACCCATAAAACTTAAATGAATGAACAGTAATAATAAAAATATTGCAAAATGAAACCAGTACTCAGCGTGTTATTTTAATTATTTTCAAAAGACTGATTTATTTTATGGAATTTCACTGGAATTATTTAACTATTATTAATATAAAAAGTACCTTATATCAAAAGAGAATAGAACACATGTATGCTACAGTGTCAAAAAACACAGATAAGCACACAGATAAACATTCAAGAACAAAAATTTATTTTACTAATTGTATCTTCACAAATAGACAAGGTGAGTTCTGAAATCACTTCAAACAAACAAGTACTCTGACCTAAAATATGTATTGTATTTTCGAGAATATTTATTTATTTATGTATTTTTATTGTTATTTATTATGAATAAATTTATTGAACTATAAAATACACACATATTAATATAAAATAAAAAAAAATATTTTTCCTATTGGTTTTTATAAAAGGAACTACTTCAATATGATATTAAAAAAAATTGATAACAAAAAGAATATAAATAAATAATTAAACTAAAAAGAAACTAAACTATTAATATTTAATTGAAATAAAGCATTTGTTTGTTAAAAATATGAAAATGCTAAAATTGGTGTTTTATTTTGGAGACGAATCAGCATAGGACCAGTAAAGGTGGTAACACACAGACCCGTTTTTATATATATTCTTTATAGTCCACTTTTGTTATTTCTTACTTTAAAAAAAGTAAAGGATAAAGTTCACATTATCGTGTTTTCATTATTACATCTTGCCTTTGCAATAAATGCATTTTTTCAGAGATATGGCAATCTTTTTTTAAATGTAACCGGTAGTCACTGCATGTTTTCACAGTGGCATCTCCATTTTAGTTTAAAAATAATAAACAAAATGCGAATTTGTAATTAATTTCGTGAATTAAATATTCAATTCAGTTCTTCCATATAAAACAAACGATTTGCATTATCCATTTCTTATATGAATACATTTGGTCGTTATTGTCATATTATCAATATAAAATATGGCCACATGAATTCAGAAAACTAAAAATATTTCCATTATTGCTGTTCTGGAATAGGCCAATTTTTTTCTGGCATAAATCATCGGTTTGCTATTTCGTAAAAGAACAAAGGAACCATGGTAACATTGATATGTCAACGATTTTTAAGTGTTCTTTCAAATATAAGTAGATTTTTATATGTTTTCTTATACGACGTCATTCGGAGGTTATTATAATTCGCGTTTTTCAACCATTTTTGCAAATTTAAATAATTTTTAATTCAACAGTTTCAATTCCAAAATTGGTTTGGTTTTTTATGAAAATAAAAATTAGGGCAACATGAATTCAGAAAACTTTACGTTAAAAAATAAAGGGAAGATGGTCTGACCTTTTGCTTATCGGATTTCAATGAAACTTATAATAACGAAAAAGACGATTGTTTTGTCTCACAATAAAATTTTTGCTCTGTTCCAGAATCTGCAAGAATTCTACTAGTTTTGCAATTTTTTTTTTTTATATATATATCATAAAGTAAAAATCGGTTATAGTTTTTAAATCTTTTACATTCTTGCAGTTCTGGAATAGGCCTATTGTTATATATCGAAAAGATGTATACCGGTCATAGAATAATTGCCCTATTCCAGAACCTGCAAGAATTCTACTAGTTTTGCAATTTTTTATCGATGTTATAAAGTAAAAATCGGTTATCGTAGTAAAAATATTTACATTTTTGCTCATCTGAAACAAGCCAAATTTTTTTTCTGACATAAATCATCGGTTTGCTGTTTCGTAAAAGAACAAAGGAACGTAGGCCAATATTGAATTAAGCCAACCTAAAACCTGTGTTATTTTACGAAGAAACCAGGCAATGACCTAATCCAAAGATGCGGAGCAAACCAGCCGACGATTTAAGCCAGACAAATAAACGCTTTATGTATTGCCACCTTTAAGTTTTCTTTCTACTCTCATTATAGGAGCTGAAAGAAAATCAAAATTATCTTTTCCCCTCGAACTGTAGAATGACTCAAACAATACCTATACTTCATGGTAGAAGAATGACTTAAGCCAAATAAGCGTTTTATGTGTTCCCACCTTTACTATGAATTACGCATCGTGCCGTATGAACGGTTTAATTCATGTATCTATCAATGGGAACATAGCATAAGTCAAACAAACGACTATGAATAGTCGATTACTCGGTTTTCACCCAAGTCCCTAGTCGAGTTCGAGTTTAAGAACTTTGAGTACTCAAAGTCGATTATTCGATTAATCCAAAGTCGACTTACATATCCCTACGTGAAAAAATCTTTATTCGTCACCTAAACAATTTCAATTCATTCAATTCATAAAATTTGTAGAAAAGCAGAGGTAAATTAACACAAAATGTGCATAAGAACTTTATTTAAAAGTTAAAGATTGGATAGACATAAAAATTGCATTGCAAAAAATCGAAATAGTTAGCTAAATATTCTCCGGAAAATTCTTTGATACGACAACTTGCTGAACAAGATGAAACATGTATACGCCCCGCAAACTTTTTTTTCTCTCTGCAAGTAGATGCATTGGTATTTATTCTAATTACAATCAATTTTTTACATCAGCAACGTTCGTTTACCCCACACAATTGTTGGATTCATGATAAGAGAAATATTTATTTTTGGTAGTTAAAAGCAAATTTTCATCAAGCAATGAAATTTACAGAGTAATAATGTGTATGTGTAAAATACGGGTAGGCAGCACAGTTCCGGCCATAAGAAATGGGAAAACCTGTATCTGAATCTATCGTAATCCAATTGATAGGCCAAAATTTCAATTCTTTATTCTACATGTGAATCGAAAATCTAGTCGTAGAATGTACCAATAGATTTTTGCAATACGAAAATTTGCAAAATGTTTATAGGGATTTTAAAACCCCATTGGTAAAATTGACCAGAAATATTTCATATTTGTTCCGTGAAAACTAATTTTAAAAGTGTCACTAACATTTCCTATTTTTGTTCACCAGTAAAATACCAGCCTAAAGATGACTGACTCCAAATACTTTTCTACCACCAAGAAAGGTGAAATTTTTGAATTGAAATCAGAATTGAATAATGACAAAAAGGAGAAGAAAAAGGAGGCTGTCAAGAAGGTGAGTTTAATATTTATATATCACAATTCATCCAAAAAATAATCCCAAATCTTCATATAGGTCATTGCCAGTATGACTGTTGGCAAAGATGTCTCAGTTTTGTTCCCTGATGTTGTAAACTGCATGCAAACTGATAACTTGGAACTCAAAAAATTGGTTTATTTGTATCTCATGAATTATGCCAAGTCGCAACCAGATGCCGCTATTATGGCTGTCAATACATTTGTTAAGGATTGTGAAGATTCAAATCCTTTGATTCGAGCTTTGGCAGTGCGTACAATGGGCTGTATACGTGTAGACAAAATAACCGAATATCTTTGTGAACCTTTGCGTAAATGTTTAAAAGATGAAGATCCTTATGTACGCAAGACCGCTGCCGTGTGCGTAGCCAAACTGTATGATATTTCCGCATCCATGGTAGAAGATCAAGGTTTTCTAGATCAGTTGAAGGATTTGCTGTCCGATTCTAATCCCATGGTTGTTGCAAATGCAGTGGCTGCCTTGAGTGAAATTAACGAATCGAGTCAATCGGGACAACCTTTGGTGGAAATGAATTCAGCCACGATCAACAAATTGCTCACCGCCTTGAATGAGTGCACCGAATGGGGCCAGGTATTTATTTTGGATTCCTTGGCCAACTATAGTCCCAAAGATGAACGTGAGGCCCAATCCATTTGTGAACGTATAACACCGCGATTGGCCCATGCCAATGCCGCCGTAGTGTTGAGCGCTGTTAAAGTGTTGATGAAATTGTTAGAAATGCTCTCAAATGATGGAGATTTTTGTGCCACCTTGACCAAGAAACTGGCACCCCCATTGGTTACTCTGCTCTCCTCGGAACCAGAGGTACAATATGTTGCCTTGCGTAACATCAACTTGATTGTACAAAAACGTCCTGACATCTTGAAACATGAAATGAAAGTTTTCTTTGTGAAATACAATGATCCGATCTATGTGAAATTGGAGAAGTTGGATATTATGATCCGTCTGGCCAATCAAAGCAATATTGCCCAAGTTTTGAGTGAGCTCAAGGAGTACGCCACCGAAGTTGATGTGGACTTTGTAAGGAAGGCTGTCAGAGCTATTGGTCGGTGTGCCATTAAGGTGAGATTTATCATATATCTAAATTGGTATATAAATTGTTATATATTTTCTACAATAATTTTGCCTTGAATAACATTGTCCTTTCATTAGGTTGAAGCCTCGGCTGAACGTTGCGTCTCCACCCTGTTGGAGCTTATTCAAACCAAAGTCAACTATGTGGTGCAAGAGGCCATTGTGGTCATCAAGGATATTTTCCGTAAATATCCCAACAAATACGAAAGTATTATTAGTACTTTGTGTGAAAATCTCGACACTCTGGACGAACCTGAGGCCAGAGCCTCCATGGTTTGGATTATTGGTGAATATGCTGAACGTATTGATAACGCCGATGAGTTGCTGGATAGTTTCTTGGAGGGATTCCAAGATGAAAATGCCCAAGTCCAATTGCAATTGTTGACGGCCGTGGTGAAATTGTTTTTAAAACGCCCCTCAGATACCCAAGAATTGGTACAACACGTATTGTCATTGGCCACTCAAGATTCTGATAATCCTGACTTACGTGATCGCGGCTTTATTTACTGGCGTCTGCTGTCCACAGATCCCGCTGCCGCCAAGGAAGTCGTCTTGGCTGATAAACCATTGATTTCGGAAGAAACAGATTTGCTGGAACCAACCTTGTTGGATGAACTCATATGTCATATTAGTTCTCTGGCTAGTGTTTATCACAAACCACCCACAGCCTTTGTTGAGGGCCGTGGGGCGGGTGTGCGAAAATCTTTGCCCAATCGTGCTGCAGCTAGCGGTGAAGCTGGTGAGGCCGGTGGTTCCGGCGCTGGCGGTGAAGCTATGGTTATTCCCAATCAAGAATCACTTATCGGCGATCTATTGTCCATGGACATTAATGCACCATCAATGCCAGCAGCTGCACCCACAAGTATTGATTTGTTGGGTGGTGGTTTAGATATTTTGGTGAGTATTCCTAATGATATTTCCACAGGGAGAAAGAATATAAAGAAAATATTTTGCCTTCCAGCTCGGTGGTCCCCCTGCTGAAACTGCCTCCGCTGGAGCAAGCAGTCTTTTAGGTGACATATTTGGTTTGGGTGGTACCGCATTGAATGTGGGCTTACAAATTCCCAAAATTGTGTGGCTACCTGCAGAAAAAGGTAAAGGTTTGGAAATCCAGGGCTCATTTTCTCGACGCAATGGCGAAATATTTATGGACATGAAATTCACCAACAAAGCCATGCAGCCAATGAGCGGCTTTGCCATACAATTGAACAAGAACAGTTTTGGTTTGGTACCCGCCCAACCTCTGCAAGTTGCCCCCTTACCTCCCAACCAATCGACAGAAGTGAGTTTGAATTTGGGCACACAGGGTCCAGTACAGCGCATGGAACCACTAAACAATTTACAAGTTGCTGTTAAGAACAACATCGATATTTTCTACTTCGCCTGCTTGATTCATGGAAATGTATTGTTTGCTGAAGATGGCCAACTGGATAAGCGGGTGTTCTTGAATACCTGGAAAGAAATACCAGCTGCCAATGAAGTTCAATATTCGTTGAGTGGTGTCATTGGCACAACAGATGGCATTGCCTCCAAGATGACCACCAATAATGTCTTTACGATTGCCAAACGTAATGTCGAAGGCCAAGATATGCTCTATCAGTCTCTGAAACTCACCAACAATATTTGGGTCTTGCTAGAATTGAAATTACAACCAGGAAATCCTGATGCTACTCTCAGTCTAAAATCACGTTCCGTGGAGGTGGCTCCAATGATATTTGCTGCCTACGAAGCTATTATACGTTCGCCTTAAGTAATTTAAAAGAAAAAAGTTATCCATAGCGAATAATACGGAAAGCTCCAATACAGTTTGATTAAGTTTGTAAACAACACAAGCACTCCCCAATTGACTATTCCTCCCTTAAGCACAACAGTAAGCTTTAAAAAGTATTTGGTTTTACATTGTCTATCCTGGTTAAAAAAAAAAACAAAATTCATTGTATTACTTTATTTTCAAAGAAAATATTTTAAAATTATCATTATTTTTATTTAACTTTATTTAATCCTAGAAAAGAACACATTCCTCTTTTGCAGTTCAAGTGGGCGCCACAAACGATGCAATAAAAAATATATAATCCAACTAAGTATTTGTTCCAATTTAGAGATTTTCAAATACATAATAATCACCAAAAAAATGAGATACATTCTTAACGTAAGCGCAACTAGATGTTTGTGTTAACCTACTCCAATAAGAAAATGTTATTCAAACTTACATATATAAATATGCATAATTATAAATAAATATTTAATCAAAAGTTAATCATAACAAAGTATATATATTCTTGATCAGCATAAAATTCTATGTCGATTTAGCGATGTCCATCCGTCTGTGGAAATCGCTCTAGCTTCCGAACGAATTTAAGTAGATTGATAAAATTTTACTCAAATGTGTATTATGTCTGCATGACTTTTGGTATTTAAAATGGGCCATGTAGGTATAGCCCCCATATAACGGTATCTCCCGATATTTGGTGTTTTCGGTATTTGAAGTTCGAAATGTATCCAGCCTAAGACAGAAAATTGTCTGTGCAGATCCACGTCTTCGTATAGATATACGATTTGTTCTAAATTGGTAGATATTCTATTTCACTTTTTAACTTTAGAATTCTGCAAATAAACTAATTTCGATATTTTCAAATCATATCTGAAGCTATATTTCTTTATTTATAAGAATCTCCTACTTTTAATATGGCATAAAAATTATAGCCGTTTTTACACTTTACTAGTCATTAGCGTTTTATTGCCAACAAATGTTACGGGAGACAACATTTCCGGTTGGACGTTCGATTTATTGCTGTTTTGGGCTGCTCATGGTTATTCTGCCAGTTCCCTTAAAGTAGAAAAATCTTCATATTTGAAACTTTTCACTGAAGACAAAAAAGCAACCCGTTAAAATGTAAAGGAAACGAGTATATTTCTCCTATCTTTTTCACTATTTTCGTACAAAACAGGAAAAAACGTTGTTACTCTGCTAAAAGAATTACATTGTGTAATAACGGCCAAGAACAAAAGTAAAACTACAGAACTCTTCTCTAGAGTAAGAAAAATCAATCAAGAATTAGGGTACACAAAATCGATTGATTCACAAGACTAAATTCAAACTATAAACCCCTATCCACGAAATTATTTTTTGTATTGAGTTGACCAAGGAAAAGCGAGATTTTAACAGATTACGGTAAAAAAAATGGATAAAAACGTAGATGAACTGGAAAAATGGGGGTTTCCATTGGTGGAACTTTATCGTATGGCTTTACAGTTTTACAAACGTAAGTAAAACACACATATTTACTTCTGTTTGTCTATACTTTTTGCTGACTGTATTGTTTGTTTGTTTCCTTCACCATTCCTCCTCTCCCCCCCGGCTGTCCTACATAGAAAACTCTGGAAAGGCTCTGCATCTCTCCTACGTGGACAACTTGAAATTGATAGCATTTAAGCAACAACAACAATGTGGCCCATTCGATCCCAAAACAGCACCCGAATTGGGGGTTCTCGATGTTATTGGCAAAGATCGCCGCATGCATTGGCAAATGTTGGGTGACATTAGCCGGGAGCAGGCTATGGAGGGTTTTATCGATTTGCTAGATTCTATGTGTAATGCCTTCCGTCCCTATGTGGAAGCGGTGAGAAAAAATCGCGACGAGACACTCAAAGAGGAGCTGAAACGTATGGAACAAGAGAAACAGGAAAAGGAACGTAAAGAACGCGAACAACAAGAGCTGCTGGAGGAGGGCTATAAAGAAGAAATGCAACGTCGGCAATTACAGGATGCACTGAATAAACAAACATATCAACAGTTTAAGGTATGTACGTGGCCATTATTAGACACGACGCAGTGGTATGAGCCGAAATCAAATGTGTGTATGTCACAGTTGATTTGTTTTGTTTACTGTGCGTTTGAATGTGTGTGGTGGTGCTACCTTGAATTAGGTCAATAATTACCCTTCTCCATATTGTGAGTAGACACACCAAAGGACATTTGACATCAATTATTTATAGGTTACTCGGTTGGCAGACAAGTGTTTTTTTTATATTGTTGTGATTTTTAAGAGAATACAGTGCAGGGTATAGGTATGTGTGAATATTTCGACAGGAGGCGCATGAGTTATGTTTTTTATATATCTTTAAATGTTCCGTTCTTGTAGAATAGATTCCACAAGAAAAAATTGTGTAAAGAAAAAATAACTTAAAAGATTTTATATTTTTAATCTTTTTAATATTCCTTTTTCTTTCAAGAGAAAAGATTTCCCTTTTTATAGAAATGTCCTTAAGTTGCCGCACAATGTATCCTTTGGGATATCATTTTCATCTTGTAGAAAGGATGGTCTATAGACCGGTTCAAATCGAATATGAGCTTTACATGGAACTTTCATAAGGAAGAGTTCCTCTATTTTAGAAATAGATATACTTCTTTGAAAGAAATTCTTTATTTGGAGAAATGTACTAATAATTTTTTACACAACTGTGAACCGTCTGTATACATTATCTCAGCACTAAACAACTAAACAATGAATAAACATACATATGTACATCCCTCCAAATACACATAGTTTCAGTGATAACATTGAAACCAAAGGAAGTCTACATTTGAATCGAGGTCACGGAACTTAAAATACATTTCTTTGGTAATGTACAACCATATAAGCGAAGTAAGGGCAAATAACAACAACTTAGGCAAATATAAGAATTTGCATAGGTATCAAAGTTGGAATTGGGTAGTTCATACAACTTGTTTACTCGGCAGGAAAGCAAAGAAAATTTTATTAAAAAAAACACGGAGTTGCAAATCTCTCCCAAAACCCAGAGTGCAAATCCTCAATTAGGATATTCCGATAAATATTAAAATTAAATACCTAATTGAATGCTTTTCTCTCTCTCCCCCGTAGACCTATGCGGAAAAGCAATTCCCTGGTAATCCTGAACAACAGGCAGTTCTTATACATCAATTGCAGCAGGAACACTATCATCAATATATGCAACAATTGCACATGCAGAATCACAATGTGGCTGGGGAGGCAACAACAAACAATAATAATTTGGGTTCCATGTCAGAGCAACATAAAAATCCCCTGGATATGGGCAATGGTGGTATTGGCCTTACAACTGATGGTGATGCCTTAAATAAAGACTTGGCCAAAATGTCAATTGAGGAGACAACACAACAGCAGCCCCATGATGGTAACCAACAATTACAAAATCATAATAGCGACGATGATGATTATGTTCTTATACAACCGGCAAAAATCTGGACACGTCCAGACATTGAAGATTTTAAGGCTGAAGTCTCGGCAGGCGATGGAGACGGGGTTATTACCATTGGCCATGGGGATACGGTCACGGTATGTTGTTGAGAATTTTGTGTTTTCTTTTTTCGATATGTGATAATTATTTTTTTGTTTCTTTTCCAGGTACGCGTCCCTACCAATATGAATGGTAAATCAATATTCTGGGAATTTGCCACGGATAATTATGACATTGGTTTTGGCATATATTTTGAATGGAGCAAACCGGTTAGCCAAGAGGTCACAGTTCATGTCAGTGACAGCGATGATGACGACGAATTCCTCGATGAAGATTATCTGTCGACCAATGAAGACTTGGAATGTGGATCCCTGGCGAACGATCGCAATAATTTGGCCAACAATAGTGTCTCGATAAAGCCACCCATATCAATTATTGTTCCCATATATCGTCGCGAATGTTTCAATGAGGTGTATGTTGGTTCCCACAGCTATCCTGGCGAGGGCGTTTATTTGCTTAAATTCGATAACAGCTATAGTATATGGCGTTCAAAAACGCTATACTATCGGGTTTACTATGAACGTTGAGAAATAGGAGGTATTTTTCTATTAGTTCTTAAGTCTAGACATCCCATTACGTTTTGCAAATCCTTTGCATCATAGTTCCAGTATATATTATTATATAATATTTATTATTATTATGTTTTATAAAAGTAAACAAAAAATCAAAAAACCAAATGAAAAGCATTCGTATAACAATTCATCTCCATTAGCGATGGAGTAACGTTGAGATAATAAATTTGTTTTTAATGTCTGTATCGCCATCATCATCAATGTTTGTACTTGGTCAATGTATCCATGTTAAAGGAGAAAATAAATATTCCTTGAAAGACTATTAACTATTTTCGACATTTCTCAAAGGTTTTATCCATTTACATTTAATATCGGCCTCAACAACTTCTTGTAGCAATGATGTACCCAATGTCGCCTTTCCTTGTACATCGATTTTGTAATAATCATACGTGAGGCATTGTTTATCATTCATAATTTGTTCTATAGCATTCCAGGCTATCATAACACCATTATCTGAACAATATTTCTTAGAGGGGCGATATGTTTTGCAATCATATTGTTCGGCTAAATGGCTAATGTCATTGAAAATGGTATCATTGTTGGCCACACCGCCCGACACTACCAAGGAACGGCAATTGCCTGAAAACAAACCACGTTCTATGCAAAATTCCATGGCTCTTTGAGTGCGATTCATTAAATGTCGTGAAATTGCATTCAACAGACCGGCACAAAAGTCAGCATAGTTAGTTATTACAGAGTCGGGAGGACAAGCTGAAATCAAAAAAAAAAAAAAAAAAAAAACTCATTAATTGAAAAACGATATTAAAAATATCACTCTAACCCTCTATCCTTTCCTGTCTCTTAATGGCGCGAAATGAATTATTTTTAATGCCGGCAAAACTAAAATTACAATCACGCATTCTGGCCAACGGCAAAGGAAATTCAAATGCCTCTGGATTACTGGCCAATTTGGCAGCCTGCTCCACTATTTGACCACCATTCCAGTTACGGTATTCTGGATTAATATATAGACGCAAACGTCGAGCTATTTTATCAAATGCCTCACCGGGGGCATCGTCCAAAGTTTCGCCCAACAGGAGAAATTCTTCTGGACCTTTTATAAAACACAGCTGCGAATGGCCACCACTAATGAGTAGACACAAAAATGGATATGGTATCGTGTGTTCCATACAAGCCTGCAAGGCATGGGCTTTCATGTGATGAACTGGTACCATTGGTTTGTTATATGTCCTGGCAATGTGCCGGGCAAAACGTAAACCAACCATGAGACTTAGAGGTAAGCCTGAAATGTAAGAAAACATAGATGTGATTTGAGATCAAATAATAAAAAAATATAAAAATGATTTGATCTAAAATAATAGGAAGTTTACTGTGTTGTTTGAATATGGTCAGGCTAAAGCTTAATGTTGTTATATAAACACAATGTTAAACAACATTTATTAATTACCTGGCCGGGTTGTAACAGCAATGGCATCAATTTCTTCGGGTTTGATATTTGCCTCCACCAAACAACGTTCATAAACTTCAGCTATTTTCGATCGATGTAAGTCTTGGGCACGTGGTGGTATAATGCCACCATATCTAGACATGGGAATATTATTGAAATTATTTTTAAAAATCATTAAGATTCAACTAACAGACTTGCTATTGAAAACTGAGTACTGCAAGTCCGTAAAGTTGAGGAAGAAATATAGACAATGTAGGTGCCACTGACTGGAGGTTCTTTTTCTATCACTTTTGAAAACTATGATTGCAATTCAACAGTCCTAGGTGGCTGTAAAACCGATCTGAGAGATGCTTTGGAACAACTCTAATTTTTTAAAAACTCTTCGATTAGGTATTTTTACCCTGCTTTTGGGAAACTATTTTTTTCTTGGGGGGACGGACCCGAAATCCCAGATTTGTGGCCCGAAAATCCGAGTTCCCGGGATCAGGGTAAAAATACCTTCCACTGAAAAAAATTGAAGAGTTTTTACTAAACTAGAGTTAAGCCGATGCTTTTAATTATGCATCACTGCCAAAGCGGTCATGGCTAACAGATAGGAGGTGAATCGGCCTATACTTTTATACGGCTTGTGATTGTAATTATAAAAACACTTTTTAACACTCCTCTATGGCCTTGACCCAAAGCATGCCGGCTCAACGTTTAAATAACAAACGGACGGTTCCGAATTCAAGCTGTTGGTGTTCAGCGAATTTCGAGGGTTTTTCTCTGCAATTTAAACAGATTGTTAAAAGAATATATAAAATATTGTGTTACCTTATGTGGAAACTCTGCTGTGAGTTCATAACATTAGCCAGTACTTTATTGTTGTCATTTTCACGCCGCACAATTGCAATACCCGTGTCGTCGCAAGATGTTTCAATACCCAAAACGGTTAAATTTCTTCTAAACACAGTCGACAGCCATCGTTGTGCAATATTTAATTTAACTTTTGTGCAATTCATAATCATATTAAAATGTATAAATTCAAAATCAGACACTAAATGCTCCAAATGATATATAGACAGGGAAGACGTCCCCAACGAAACAAACCCCGAGGAAACTCTGTTGTTTACGAATGAGACATGAGGAAATCGAACCGCTGGACACATTCATTAAATGAACCGCGAGAGTAAGTTTCTTCAACTCGAGGAAGAAATCGACCGGCTTTACGGCGTCATTTTGACGCCGTTATAAATATTAAGCTGAGTACACACTAAAACATTTCTATCTTTTAATTTATTGAATTTATACAAAAAAAATTATAAACAAAATCACTTGACGTTTGCACTGAAAACAAAGTCAAACGATTTGTTTCGGCGGCGGCGGCTTCCAAGTTGCTAACCAACCGTCGGCGATGCGCTGTAGTTTCTATACTCTGTAGACAAACACACCAGGGATGGAAGACCAATAATGTCAAAAGTACTAAAATGGCTTTTGGTTCATTTTCCTGTAATTGCAAGATGTTGGTACAAATGCCAAGTATTGACTGTCATGCGAAAGGTCAGCCAGCCCGTGTTTACGCCCACCTAGAATAGAATTTTTAAGTACTAAAACTTTTCTATTCCACATTATTCGAAACCGTCAAATGGTGGAACCATGGTACAATGAAGACAAGGTAGGTTAACTTTGAAAAAATTGCAAGTATAGATAAGCATAAGCATTTTGAAAACTCTCGAATTTGAATATTTTCTGAACAATTTTTTATTATTGAAAAGAATACACATACATAAACAAATGAAGTTGACATATTAAGCCAGAAAAATAAAAAAATTAAAATCACATGGTAGTATTTGAAATGAGGTTACGTTAATTTCATTGTACCATGGATTTACAGTTACATGGCTATTTATTTTTGAATACAACGCTTTTTTAAATTCTCTCCATTAAAGTATGCGACAAAAACATTTCTTATGATGCTTTTCGGGTCCGATGACAGCTAAAAGAGCTTCATCAAATACAGCTTTGATATTTTTCTGAAAATTTTATGGGATTTAAACTTTTGAACTTTGAGAATGAAGTGATTTAGACATCTTACCTTTGTTAAGGCCGAACACTCCACATATTTCACAGCTTTTATCTTTTTTGCCAATTTATTACCCATAGCAAAGTCAATTGGGGTTTCATTATATCTACTGAATACTTTGGACGAGCTGTTGGGCTGCTCATCACGCAAATCTATTTTGGTTCCGACCAGCAAAAATGGTGTGTTTGGAGAAAGTTGCTTTAATTCTGGTACCCACTACAACACAATAAATATTATATGTACAATTGTTTCGGCAAAGTCATCTACTGGACTTTTTTGTAATAAATAAAAAGATGTTTAGCCATGGTAGAATTGTGAATCTTATGTTTACAATTCTTTCAACGTTTCATTTCACAACATCTCATTGTCAAAATGTATATTTATAAATACCATGGTAGAAGAATATAGGTAGACGCATCGACACAGCTGCTGGGACAATGAACTGCCAAATTGAAAATGTTGAATGAAAAATTATTTAAATTTGAAAAAATTATTGAAAAACGTGAAATATAAAAGTGTCCGAATGACGCCGTATAAGAAAACCTAAAAATCCACTTATATTTGAAAAACATTAAAAAACTTTGACAAAAAGAGATGTTGCCAAAAGAATGATTTTTGAAAAAAATATAAACATGTGATTGCATGACTTTACCTTTTTAATTCTACCATGATAAAAGGGTTATTATCTGAAAAATAATTAAAATATAATTAATTCTTAATGAATAAATTTGACATATTATTAGTATCTTAACTTTCAACATTGCTTTCTTTACACACTCTCCTTTAATGGAGTTTTGGGTTATCGAACCACATTTTGTAATATTTTTTTTTTTACAAAATATCGGATTATCGTACACACCTTAAAGTATGATCAAAATTTACGAAATCCACTCCTAATTCAAATAATGTCCTCTTGATTTATGAATACGCATTCGCTATGAAATTGACATTTTAAATCGAGTGGATTACGTGACAAAATAAATCCAGTGGATTTCAACGGACAATTCCATTGCGTATACGATAAATCTTTTGGATTTGCGAGTCGATTTCATTTAACGTATAGGCATTAAGTTGACAATTCACTAGATTTATGCCATTTTACGTCAGAACTTTTTGTAGGGTTAACTTATTTCAGGAGGATTTATTTGACAATTTTAATCTAAATCCATGGTAGAAGAATACAGGTAGATGCATCAACGCTTGGGAACATTGATATGTCAAAAAAATTTTAAATGTTTCTTCAAAAATTAATAGATTTTTATATGTTTTCTTATACTACGTCATTCGGAGGTTATTATAATAAGCGTTTTATTTAAAAAAATTTTTACAAATTTCAATAATTTTTCATTCAACATTTTCAATTCCAAATTTGGCTTGACAGTTCATTGTCCCAGCAGCTGAGTCGATGCGCCTACCTATATTCTTCTACCATGTCTAAATCCATTGGGATAACCCATTTATATGTAAACGTACTGTTAGTAAGCTTAAACGTCGTACTTGTATTGGATTTAACCTTTACAGTACGTTTATATGTATGAGGGTTAACCCACTGGATTTGGATTTAAATTGTCATATCCATTACTTTTACTTCAAATAAATCCTCTCAAAGAAGGTTAAGGGTGCAAACACATAAAGAGCTTGAAGTCATGGCTAGGCATATTTTGTGACGCTTCATAAAGGGATTACAGAGCCGCACTAAAATCCTGCCGTCGTTTTCCATTATAATTTGACAATAATATGCCTAGCCATGACTTCAAGCTTGTTATGTTTGTTATGTACTTGCACCTTAACCCTACAAAAAGTTCTAACGTAAACATGGCATTAAATTCTGAGGTGACATACTTTATAACGTGGTGGTAAATTTTACCCCTCTAAATATTACAGAAAAAAACTTTGTTAAAAATTTTATTTGATAATAATTTGTTTTTTAAAAGTAAGCTTGTATATTTTAAATTGAAATAAGTAAAAAAACATTTTTTTATGTAAACAACATTTTTATTCATTGTAATAGAATAGAGAATTTCAAGAAAATGTGAAGGGAGGGTAAAATTTACCACCACCACAGAAGTTAAAGGTTAAATCAATTTCTTACCTTTTCTTTGACATTTGCATATGACGTACGATTAACGACCGAAAAACACACCAGAAATACATCGGTATCCTTGTAGGACAAGGGTCGTAAACATTCATAATCTTCTTGGCCAGCTGTATCGAATACTCCCAGTGTGTATGATTTGCCGTCAATAACAATAGTAACAGCATAATTATCAAATATTGTCGGCTCATATTCCGCATGAAAAACATTTGTCGTATACGATATGAGAAGACATGTTTTTCCCACAGCACCATCGCCAATAACAACACACTTTATGAAATCCATTGTGTGACTCCTTCTGCATTGACTGAATGTGAGTGAACGATCTGATCGCTTCTGCTACTACGTTGAGTTTAAAAAAAAACTGTGCTATAGAAATGCAAAACCACAATACATATTTATATATAAATATGATAATATATTTAGGTGATCTTTTTATAAATTTTGACATATTGAGGCTGAAACACCATAGAAACCATGGTAGAAGAATAAAGGTAGGTGCATCAACGCATGGGAACATTGATAGAAGAATAGAGGTAGTCGTATCGACACAGCTGCTGGAACAATGAACTCTCAAACCAGTTTTGGAAGTGAAAATGTTGAATGGAAAATGATTCACATTTGTAAAAAATGTATATCGTAACTATATCCGATTGCATCATGGTAAAATTAAGCAGGTAAAGGTGCAAGTACATAAAAAGCTTGAAGTCATGGCTAGGCATATTAATGTCAAATTATAATGGAAAACGACGGCTGGATTCTAGTGCGGCTCTGTAATTCCTTTATGAAATGTCACAAAATATGCCTAGCCATGACTTCAAGCTTCTTATGTGCTTACACCCTAAAGTCATTTCAAATAAGCATTTACCTTGTCACATTTCACTACATAAAAAGAGGTTCCCATCTCTGATTTGTGTGCGTATAAAAGATTTATAAATACAAATTTTGACAATGAGATTCTGTCAAATGAATAATTTTTGAAAAAATTGTAAGCATATGATTGCTGGACTTTACCTCCCTGATTCTGCCATGGATTGCATATTTTCGACGTTTATGGACAACAAATTGTAAAATTTTTGGGTTAAAACTGTATTGTCCTACTATTTAAGATTCAATCTTGTGGAGTAACTACACAATTCCATTAGTGTTTCACGGTGTTTCCCTAATATAAGGATTTTGATCAAAAAGGTTAAATAAACAAAACGAACTGTTACATATTCAAAAGTCCATGGTAGAAAAAATACAGGTAGATGCATCAACGCTTGGGATCATTGATATGTCAAAAACTTTGAAAAGTTTTTTTTTCAAAAATAAGTAGATTTTTATATGTTTTCTTATACGACTCCAATCGGAGATTGTTATGATATTCGTTTTTCAACAATTTTTACAAATTTGAATAACTTTTCATTCAAAATTTTCAATTTCAAATTTAGTTTGACAGTTCATTGTCCCAGCAGCTGTGTCGATGCGTCTACCTGCATTCTTCTACCATGCAAAAGTCTATTTGTCACTATAAGACTCTAGCACAGAGTTGCATTTTTAATTTTTTTTATGTTAAGTAACCTTTTTTATTGATGCACGTACATGTATTCTTCTACAATGAAAAGTAGCACACACTAACACCTTTTTTACAAGTTTAACGAAGGGAAGTCCGTTATTTAATATAAAATCAAACGTATTGAAACTCAAACGATACGTTTTATTACATCAGCTTAACAGAGTAAACAATGTTTTTTGGTGAGAATACATAAAACGCTTTTCTGATTGCTTTAAGTCATCGGCTGGCTTCTTCGTAGAGGAAGAAAGGAGTTTTAAGTTGACTTAGTTGGTTTTGGCCCTAGGCGCCTCTGTTCTTTTACGAAGAAGTCAGCCAATTACTTAAGCCAGTCAGAAAAGCCTTTTATGTATTCTCACCTTTTCTTGACAAAGACTTCGATTAGATAAAGTTTTTTTAAAGGTAAATATAAATGCAGCTAAGCAGGGCTTCGTAGGTTAACCCTTTTTTAAATGAGATGTTAACGGAATTATTAAAAATAAACTGAAAACATTTAATTACACAACGCTTGACAATACAATAGAGGTAGACTCATTTGCTAAATCGAAAATGGCAAGCCTTTTTCTGAAGTACTCGACATTGTCATTTTTCAAATAACATTTATTTTCGTATCTGAAATATTTACGTATGACGAGTGGCATATTTTACAAAAATAAAAATTTATCTATTATTTTCACCGTTCATATTAAGGGCGCATTCTCGGCGCTGTTAGTTCTTGTAATGGTAGAAGAATATAGGTAGAGGCATCAATACAGCTGCTAGGACAAGATCTGTCAAACCAATTTTGGAATTGAAAATGTTGATTGAAAAATTATTTTTATATGTTTTCTTATACGGCATCAATCAGAGTTTGTTATAATATGCATTTTTCAACTATTTTTACAAATTTGAATAAATTTTCATTTAAAATTTTCTATTTCAAAATTGCTTTGACTGTTCATCGTCCCAACAGCTGTATTCTTCTACAATGGGTGCAAGTACATAAAAAGCTTGAAGTCATGGAATATTAATGTCTATTATAATGGAAAACGACGTCAGGAATTTAATGCGGCTCTGTAATCTCATTATGAAATTAAAATATGCCTAGCCATGACTTCAAGCTGCTTATGTACTTACACCTTTACTTGTCTTCGCATTTTCCTACATTACCTTCCCTATCTCTGTGTTTTATAAATCATTTGCTTTCCCAGAATTTTTTATTTAGAATTTAAGAATTTTATTGTTTCGCTCTTTTATACTTGTTGTTTTTTATTATTATTTATTATAATATCTGAAATCAATAGTTACAATGTCTAGAAACTAAAAATATAATGTAAAAATTGATAATCGTATATATAAAAATATGTTTTTTTGCTTTTGTTTTTTACTTTTCGTTTAATATATTATTAATGATTAATATTGTATATATTAATATAATTTTGTTTTTATTTTCTTTTAAATAAAAAAAAATGCATTAGTTCAAGTAAGACGAACTAGAATCATTTTTGTCTCTTTATGTTTTTTTTTTTGTGTTGTGGTTTTTTGAAAAAATGATTAAATTAAAAAGAAAAGGAAACAGTTTTCTTTTTTTGTGGGGGGTTATCGAGAAGCTAAACACTGTAAATCTTTCCACACAAAACGCGTCATTGGAGCAAATAATAAGGAGAGAGAGAGAGTGAGAAAAAGAAAACGGAACATAAATATGGGATAAATATTTTAATGGGAGTAGGGGATCTTGTTTAATAGATGTAGAGGGGAAGAAAGAGAAAAATGTCCAAATCTGTCAATTTAACCACAGATCTCATCTTGTATATGTGTATGTATGTTTGCAGCAAGACAGCAGCTGGGTTGTATGTGTCTCAATCCAAATATGCTCTTTTGCTTGCCTGTTCTTGCTGGTTAAGAGTTGTTGACTGTTTTGTTTTGACAAATGACAATGACAAATAACATGGTTTTTGCTTTTGTTTCTTTTTTTCAGTTAAATGTTGCGTTTCTGTTTTATTTTATTCAATAAATCATCAAAATTCAATTATATTTTATTTGCATTTGTGTTTTTTTAGATAAATTATTGTTGTTACTGCCATCAGTAGAGTGTGGTGTGTGTAGTGTCTGTTGTTGTTTACGACGAACTTCAATAATTTTTTTTTGCGTTTCTAAAAATAGTTTTAACATTACGTATAATGTTGTTATGGTTGGTGTTTTTTTTTCTTTTCTTTTTGTTTCTATATAAACTTTTTCTTATAGAATTTAGGACTATCAAATATTGATCAATGCAAAATTGTTATATTTAATTTATTGCTGGTTCCTTGGTTTATGTTTCTTGTTTTTTTAAATTTGCTGCAGTGACTAAGCTAGAAATCCGAGTTTCGTTTTTTTTGTTGTTGTTAGTTTTCATTGTTTGTTTAATTTAGTACTTCATGAACTTATGACGCTGTTCAAATAGAAATTTTGTTTTTCTTGTTTTTTTTTTTCTTTTCAATATAAATCCAATTGATTAATGTTGTTGCAGTGTTGTGTTGTTGTTGTTTAGAAATTATTGATTGCGTGTGTGTATGTAAACTTGCTTCTGCATTTTGTTTGTTTCTTTCGTTTGTTGAAATAAATTATAATACACATAAAAATTATAAGAATCTGCACTTCTTTTTCTTGGCGGGTTCTGGTGGTTCCAATGCAGCTAAAATTGCCTCATCGAAAACATTTTTAAGACCTTTCTGCAAAGTTCAACGAAAACGAAAAAAAGTGTTATTACATTTGCCCCACTACTTGGCATTTGGAACTTACCTGTGTCAAGGCAGAGCATTCCACATATTTGACTGCCTTCAATTCCTTGGCCAATTTTTCACCCATTTCAATGCCAATAGGTTTTTGTTTATTCTTGGCTAATTTTTCCAATGTTGTGGTCTCATCACGCAAATCTATTTGCGTTCCCACCAACAAGAAGGGTGTCTTTTGGGCGTGATGCTGTATTTCCGGTACCCACTAGAAAATCGTAAGAGAAAAAAGGGAAACTCGTATTAGAAAAGGGAAAAGAGTCTTGAAGATAGAAGAACCATTAAAACGAGAGAGGGAAAAGAAGGGTGTATAAAAATTCTTCGAACGGAAACATAGCTTACAGCTTTAAAAATTAAAAGTAAAACAGCTTTAAGTTCGGCCACCATTTGGAACGAATTTGGCAATTATCAAAAACAATAAAATCCGTTAAAAATTCTGTTAAAATCTTAAACATACCGAATGTTGCTATTATATTAGTGTCTGTACGATGACATGGACCTGCTTAGGTAACATTTGTCGTAAGCCATTACAATATTCAAATGCGAAACTTAAAAAAATTGTAATGCCGTTGATAAAATCATCAAAATACCGAATATCGGGAAGAAGACGTGGACCTGCACAGACAATTTTCTGTCATAGGCTGTAGTATTCATTACGAATTTCAAATAAGAAATTTGAAACAATTCCGGTGAATAATGTCGCTAAACTTATCAAAATACCGAATATCGGAAGGTACCTGTTATATGGGGGCTATACGAAGATGTGGACCTGCACAGACAATTTTCTGTCTTAGGCTGAAGCATCCGTTACAAACTTCAAATACCAAATTTGAAAAAATCCGGTGAATAATGACGCCAAAATCATCAAAATACCGAATATCGGGAGGTACCGTTATATGGGAGCTATACGAAAACGTGGACCTGCACAGACAATTTTCTGTCTTAGGCTGTAGTATCCATTACGAACTTCAAATACCAAATTTGAAACAATTCCGGTAAAAAATCCCGCTAAACTCATCAAAATAACGAATATCGGGAGGTACCGTTATATGGGGGCTCTACGAAGACATGGACATGGACAGACAATTTTCTGTCCTAGGCTGTAGTATCCATTACGAACTTCAAATACAAAATTTGAAACAATTCCGGTGAATAAATTCGCTAAAATCATAAAAATACTAAAAGTCCTGCAGACATAACATACATTTAAGTAAAATTGTATCAATTCGTTCGGAGGCTAGAGTGATTTCCGCAGACGGTTAGGCGGACATCGCTAAATCAACATACAATTTTATGCTGATCAAGAATATATTTACGTTGTGGGGTCTAAAATGTGTATTTCGAGGTGTTACAAACGGAATGACAAACTTAATATACCCTCAATACTATGGTGGAGGGTAGAAAAGTATTTGATTTAATTAATAACAATATATCAAAGTGTTGTCCTTTACAACATTTTTCATGAATTTAGGGATATTTACATGGACATATGTTTCTAGCAGACATCGCGAAGAACATCTAAAACGGTCTTCACTCTCACAACAAGATTTAGAAGAAGAATGCCCTTTCAAATACGTTTAAGATATAAGATCCGTCCAAAACATGAAAGATAATTTACAATGTTTACAATAGGCCAAAAGACACCCTAAGAGATTTGTTAGAAATACAGGGGGAGATGAAAAAAACGCAACCAACTTCAGACTGCTGTCATTTCTAATCCACTCGTCCGACAGCTTTTAAAATTATTCCAGTGACAGCTCATTATATTGTTCACAAGCGTACAAAAGCAATTTGGTGAGAACTTTCCAGAAAAAAAGTTATTCGTGATGCAATCGAAGCGTGATAGTGTAATTTCTTTATATTTGGATGGAAAACCACAAGTGGCTATCGTTAGAGCACTTCAGCACTTAAATGTGAATAAATATTTTGTGTCTCGTACCATCGCTCGTTACTGTGATACTGGTAGCGTGACCCTACGTCAAAGAAGTGGACGGAAGAAAGCAGCAACATCAGCAAAAATGGTTCGAAAAGTAAAGAAGCGACTTGATCGAAACCCGCGTCGCAGTTGCCGAAAATTGGCTCGTGAGCTGAACATACCACAATATTCCATTCGGCAAATATTAAAAAATGAGCTCGGAGTAAAGCCATTGAAATTCCAAAAAGTGCAGGAACTTACACCGCAACAGAAAGGAAATAGACTCAAAGAAGAGCTAAAGAGTTGCTTTGCTTGGCCGAAAGTGATGAACTGCCGAATTTGGTTTTATCCGATGAGAAAACATTCGTTGTCCAGTAGTTTGTAAACAAACAAAATGAGTGTGTTTACTTGCCCTGGAGGTCGGGTCAGCTGAAAATGTTCACCTTCGGTTGGCCACCAAAACTCAAGCACCGGCCATGGTGATGGTGTGGGCCGCCATAACGGCCGATGGTCGCTTTTCGCTCGCATTAATCTCGCCAGAGGCATCAGAATGTCGAATATCGAATATTATAACGAAAATATTCTGGAGGGTGTATTAAAGCCTTGAGGCACGCAAACATTTTGACCGCAGACCTTGGACATTCCAACAGGGCTCCGCACCATCACACTCAGCACGCACCACTCAAGAATGGTTACAAAATGAGGTTTCTCGCTTCATTTCCAGCGCACAATGGCCACCAAAATCTCCGGATACCAATCCGTTGGAATATTGTGTCTGGAGTATTTTGTAAAAGCAAGGTTGGCACTAAAAAAAACCAAAGTGTCGATCACCTTAAGCAAGCGTTTCACCGGGAATGGCCAAAATACCCCAGAGCAACATTCGGGCAGAGTGTGACGATTTCATTGGCCGTTTGAAGGCTATAATTCGTGCCAAAGGTGACCAACTCGAACAAATCTATACTTATTCTAAAAATTTGATGCTATTTCCGACATTTTTGCTTTCATTCAATAAAATTTAAAAAATATGTATGAATTATGGCCTTTGACTTCGTTGCAGTTTTTTTTTATCTCAGCCTGTAGATCAGAAGACACCCTAAGAAATCTGTTACAAATAGAAGCAGTAACACAGGCCCACTTCGAATTGTTTACTATTTTTTTTACAATTTTAAATGTAAAAAAATCGAAAAGCATTTCTGTATCCGTAGCTGAAAAAAAAAATTATATTACGGCTCTTCAATAATCTGCATATATTTAGTAGATATTTTATCCATATCATGCCATCATCTAACCAAAGAAACCCCCTTTCATCTACAGAGTTTTACAAGTACACCTTTATTTTATTTCAAGAAAAAATAAGGAAGCCGGAAAATAACAACTTCGAAGTCTTCTGCAGCGATGGATCAGAAATGTCCGAATCGTCTGGATCGGCCGTTGTTCACAAAAATTCTGGTACGGTTTTCTATTTTTACAACAACAAGAATATGTCATCTATGTCGGCGGAGCTAATAGACATCATCAAAGTATTGGAATTTTAAATATTTAAAGAAAATAGCTGTGCCAACGAATAGCCTTAGTGGCATTTTGGCGGTTAAAAATGGTGGCAAGGGAAATTCAATAGTGAAAGAGCTAATTGAGTTGGCGAAACAAATAATTGTTGAAATTGAAATATATTACATTCCCAGCTATTCAAATATTTTGCATTAATGAAGCAACATATCAAGCTGCCAAACAAGCAAGGCAATTGGGCTTAGAAATCAATACTCCTTTAACGATTGGTGAGGCGACAATGCAGATAACAAAACAAAATTTGGGCAGAGTGGAATGAAGAATATCAGAATTTATCCCAGAATAGAGGTGCGACATTTGGACGCATCTTTCCGGCAGTTAACAAACACAGATGGTTTGGAAAAATTTTCCATCAAACCCATTAAATGCAAAGAAATAAAGACAATATTAACGGGCCACTGTTGTTGCAACACTACTCAATTTTGTTTTGGTGTGGAACCTACAGCCATGTACGATCTTTGTAATGTTGAGGAAACCGCAGATCATATTATATTTGAATGTCGAAAACATGATTCCAGTAGGAGCTCATTAGAGCAAGATCTACGGAAGATTTCATAGCCTATTATGGCCTTGATTAAATGCAGATAATCACCAAATTTTTGGATAAAATTCAAGTTAATATTTAGACAGTTGGCCTTTTTCCATGTCCTGGCGGTGTTATTAAACACGAGCCAACGTCTCCTCGTGGGATAGATGGCTCACACTAGCAGTCATCAAACCACAAAAAACCAGTAAAGAAAGTCTTAAAGTCGGGCGGGGCTGACTTTATGATACCCTACACCACTTTGCTAATTTAGTAGAGCTCCACATTACAATTAAAAGTTTTTATGGAAGAATTCAATCATACACGCTATGATTATAATTAAAATTTAAAATTCAAAAGACTTAAAATATGCCGAATCATTTGTATCTTTTAAATTCGGACTTGCATTGCCCATTTTATATATATATGGGAGCTTTATCCAAATCAGAACCGATTTTGATCAAATTTGTCAAAGATATTTCTGAGCTGTATTTGAAATATTTCCCTGAATATCGTTGTTACGGAGTGCATGTTACGGCTGTGGGTAACAAATATAACAAATCGGATGAACAGTATATATGGGAGCTATAGCTATGTCTGAACCGATCTTAACCAAATTTGACATACTAGCTTCTAGACTCAATTCGTCGGTCGTAAGTGCCAAATTCCATCCCATTTGAACAAATATTATACGTTTATGCACAATAAAAGGTAAATCGGACGAAGTTATATATGGAAGCTATATCGAAATCTGAACCGATTTCGATAAAATTTAGCAAATGTATTCCTGAGCTGTATTTGATATATTTCCCCAAATATTGTTGTTACAGAGTGCATATTACGGCTGCGGAGGACAAAAATAACAAATCGGATGCTATAGCTATATCTGAACCGATTTCGATCAAATTTGGCATTTCAGGCCTAATTTGGTTGTATGTGCAAAATTCCATACTATTCGCGCTGATATTACACGTTTGGTGCACAATAAAATGTAAATCGGACGAAGATATATATGGGAGCTATATCTAAATTTTTACCGATTATCTCCAATTTCAATAGGGTTCGTCCTTGGGCCAAACAAATGATTTGTGCAAAATTTCATCTGGATCGGGTAATAAATGCGAACTGGTCACAAAAATACATGGACAGACGGACATGCATAAATCGACTCAGAATGTGATTCTATGCAGATCGTCAAAAGGAACTATGGGTCTATCACGTTTCCTTTTGCCTGTTACAAACAAATGCACAAAGACATAATACCCTGATCACCTTGTGGCGTAGGGTATAAAAAGTACACCAATATTTATACTCGTTGCTCCAAGCTCCAAGGGCCTTCTAAATGTCATATTTTTAAGTTTTAAATGCAAGTTCTTTGTTTTGAAGGCTTCTTGAAAAGCACCAAAAAAAAAAAAACAATTAACATTTTATTTCGTTTTATACATACCTTTTCTTTGACATTTTCAAACGAACTAGGACTAACGACTGAGAAACACACCAAAAACACGTCTGTCTGTGGATATGACAATGGACGCAAACGATCGTAATCTTCTTGACCGGCGGTATCGAAGAGACCCAATGTGTATGGTTCGCCACCGATCATAACGGTGACTGCATAATTGTCGAATACTGTGGGTACATATTCCGAAGGAAATTTATTGGTGGTATACGAAATCAGCAGGCATGTTTTACCCACAGCACCATCGCCAACAACAACACACTTTATGGTCTGCATTGTTCTGCGTTAGCTGCAAAAGATAAGAGAATAGAAAAGGATTGTAATTTTTTTGTGGTAGAGTCATTTGATTTCTATTTAAAAGATATAAAATTTTATGTATTCCAAATGTCGTATATTCTTCATATGAAACGAAATATGCAACACATTCAAAAATCCACCCTTGGCCGTTCAATTCTATGTTAAATTTACAAGGTGTGTCACTTTGAAATATGTAAATTTCATTCGAAATGCACTGTAACGTCGGGTGTGGTGATTTTTAAGTAAAAATGCAATTATCTTATCCAAAAAAAAAAACAAAGGCGTGCCTTAAAAATTGTTCGAATAAGTGAGGGGTTGGAATTGAAATGCATGATTTCACCTTTATATCTTTGAGATTCTAGGTCAAGGGTTTTCTTGTCCTCTTATGCTAATAAACGAATTAGATCCTTTATCACTTAAATGTATGTCCAGGGGGTCAATTCTGGTTCTATGAAAACGTAAAATGAAAAGTTTTTTCACCGTTTCATACAAATACTGATTCGAGTTCTATGAAAACATAAAAACATATGTTTTAATGTTTTCATATGAAAGGAACGATAGAAAGTGAAACTAGTGTTTTCACATTTTCACAAAGTAAGCTATTCCGATTCTATGCAATCATGAAAATTGAATCAAAAAAGTTTTCAGTTGAAAAATATTTTTTCATACAAATTTTCTTTATGAAAATGGAAAAATCGGTCCGTGGTAAAAGAGCCTCAGAAGAACAAAAGGAATTTTTAATAAATTTCCTTGAGGAAAACGTCGATTTGGCGAATGACAAGTAAGACAATTTAAAATTTTACAAAAAAATCATGTTTCTTTACAAAATAAAAATATACGTATATTGAAGATTTTGTACTGTTGATGGTGCAAAATATAGAGAAGAAAAATGGAAGGAATTGGCGGAATGCTTGAATGCTATTGGAGGGACTATGAAGGATGGTGCCAAGTGGAGAAAATATTGGAGTGATTTGAGGTATGACTTATTTTAATTGTAGAATATTAAAAATAGTAGTAAGATTTTTTGGAAGAATATTATAAGTATTATTATTTGTAGAGGAGCAAAATTGGGAGAATGGATCTAACGATCCGGAGAATGGAAATGGAATCGCTCGATATGCTTTTACGTATTTTAATACCAACCAATGTTTGTCATTGTACATGCGTTTATCTATGCAATTTTTTCCATTCGTATAGGCAACATACACGCTCCAAATACCTTTTGATGAAAAGAGACGAACAAAAAAGTGGAATTAATGGACCAAAAAAAATCAAGCAACTATCTGAAGTAGAACAGAGGATTATAAATATTACCAAAATAGAAGCGGTTGATGGGGATAAAACTCAGGAGATGGGGTTCCTATGTAGTCCCGGAGTACATGTGGAAAATAACTCATCAGATATTTGCTATCAGGAAGATATGGTGGAGATACTTGATGACCAAATTGTAGAGTTGGATGAAGATCTTGAAACTGGAGAAAATTCCACATTTACAATTAAATTGGGAGGAAAAAGACCAAGGAAAGAAAAACGGAAGGTTGCTTTATATCCTGATGAATCACAATTTGAAATATTGTTTAAAATAGAAGAAGAGAAAGTGGAAGCTATGAGAAAGTCTAATACTCTAAAGGAAAGGGAGATTGAAGCTATAAAGGAGCAAACAGAAGCGATTAAGGCTGATACACAAGCAAAAGTGGATTTTTTAAAAAAAATACAGGAAGTCATTCAAGTTCTACCTTGTAATAATAATGGCTACTGACATAATAATAAATAAATTCTAGCCATTACTAAAAATGATGTCGATTATTCTTAAACTGTTTTGGAAATGAGCTTGACACAAATCAGCAAGGTGTGGATAAAAGTTGTCTGTCCGTGGAAATCACCCTAGCGTCCAAACGAATTGAAGTAGATTGATACAATTTTATTCAAATGTGTGTTTGGTCTGCAGGACTTTTGATATTGAATATTTGTTATGTAGGCCCACGTATAGGTAAAGCCCACACTTCGTTATAGGTAGAGACAGAATTTTAGATCCAAGTCTTCGTATAGTATTTTTAAGATTTTAAAAAATTTTGTAACGGATTTTGCCTTTTTATTTAGTTTTTTGTTTTTTTTTTTTGAGAATTTTTAAATTCTTTCCAAATGGTGAACGGTATTCAACTGCTTTTTCTCTTGTTTTTTTAATGATTGTATTGATTTTTCAATCTATTCTTATCTATTGAGCAAATACGTTTTCAACTATCTCGGAACGTTGCCTTTTTGCAATACTTGATATATTTCGGCATGAAATATCCGCAGTCGCATTTGTTTGTTCCCCATTGTCATTCATTTCCTCTGATATTATTTCCGGATGCGGTATCTTTTTCCGAACTAAAAAATTATGCAGGACCAAACAGGCGTTTATTATCAGACCTGCTTTTGGTGGACTATAGTAAAGTGTCCTTTCTTTTGATAAGCATCGAAATCTTGATTTTAGTATACCAATACATCTTTCTACTAAAGCTCGTGTCGATTTGTGCGCGATGTTATAGCGCTCTTCGGATGTATTGCACGTTGAAAGTATAGGAGTCATCAACCACGGCTATTTGGTAAATTAAACGAATACACTTTATTATCTCTACACATAATACGTTCGTATATTTTACCTGCAATGGGTAACCACTATCTCCTAAAAGCCAATAATTACGTTCTCCTCCAGTATATAAATCTTCCAGTCTTCTGCAAGCTTGGGAACTTCTCCAAACATAAGAATCATGTGCTGTACCACCAAATCGTGCGTTAGCTGCCAAAATAATATAATTTGAATCGCATATAATCATCACATTCTTTGAATGTCCTCCTTTTCGACAGTAATATATATGCTCAATTTCACGCCTTGGAGCAGATATTTTAATATGAGTGCCGTCAATTACTCCTATAATCCCTGGAAATTGATATTTCTCCATAAACTTTATTTTAAGTCCTGGGAAATCTTCTTGTTTGGGAAATATTATATAATTGTGTGAAATATTGTTCAAAGCTTTAGCAACCATAGTTACACATCTGCTTACGGATGTTTGAGATAAAGCGGATAAATTATCTTGTCCTACACTTCGTTGAAAGCTACCAGTAGCAAAAAAACGTAATGAACTTAGTACTATTAGATGGCATGGAATTGCATGGACTCTTCTTGATTTCGGCAAAAATGGCTTCAATTCTTCGATGAGTTCCAAACACAAATGCTTCGGCATCCTATACAACTCAAAAAAGCTCTCCTCTGTGGCTATTTCAAATGGATTGTGGTGATCCCGAAGACTGCGTCTAAGAATTCGAAGCGAGTTCCTAAACAATTTTATATTTATTTCATGTTAACTTTTTTAGATAATTGTACTAACCTTTGTTCTATTCTATGTCTTTGCGATATATAATATAATATAATGGAACTTGACATTTTTTATCGTATATTGTTTGATTTTACGACAATATTATTTTTTTCCTGTTAACATATGAACGTCAACTTTACAATTATTTCAATAACATAGTTACAAAAGTTTCATTGCGACACGGAATTGAAACATTGTTTTCACAAAATGAATCAGAATCGGAAAATATGTTTTTATGAAAACGAATTATGAAAAGTTGTTATGAAAACGAAATTCAAAATAATTTTTTCATTTCATATTTTCATAGAACCAGAATTGACCCCCAGGTATTGTTACACAATGCACCGGTCATTATCGCAACGGGCCAATATTTGCTTGCACATAAAGAAGTCCATTTATGGCAGACCCTTTAACATATTAATGTTGCGGATTAGCAACATAAGGACCAATTGTGATTTTCTAACTGACACCAATTTCTTCTTCTAAGACTTGGGCAATTTTCAAAACACGAAATAGTAGTTTGAAGGTTTGTTTAGCTTAAGGTCGAAATTTCATTCCAAGGAATTACCTCCTTTAGGCAAAAATGAAAAACAAATTAAAAATTATCTCCAACCTAATGACGCAATAGACAGAATTAAATACATATTTTTTTAGAAAAATAAACACAGTGGTAAAAACCGCGGAACGTAACATCCGCCTAAGCCCCCGCGAATGTAATATATAAACCAGCAGAAAGAGGGGTACATTTGGACCATTGAGGGAAGCTCTTCCCCCACGAGTCAGAGGACCGTTTGTTCGTAATAACCGATCCTTTGGCAAACTACATGAAGGAAATACACATGAAGTTCATTTACAACAAGACACCAACTTTTGAAAAATAGCCGAAGTCAGCAAATAAATCCAGGATACGAGACCGACATATAAAGCCAAGAAAGAACTGCCACACTCAGCTATTCTTTCTCTGTTTCTGCCAAAAGACTTCGAAATAAGCAATGCGTCAGTCTCATTCTCAAGAAACTGTAAGAGTAAACATTACCATCGTTCTCCACTAATAAACAAACGTTGTTTTTATAAAAACAACAATAAAGGGATAAAGCCAGACCATTTTGCAACAACAAAATACTACGATATCCCGAACAAACAAGCCACACTGTTCGAAAAATAAAAATTTTTACATAGATGTCAGGAGCAAATTGCGATGCTGTTGGCCGAAATTGGGATGTTGTTGTTTCGGGTCAATCCGGTATCGTAGAACTCATGACACCAGTGGACCATCTACATGAGGAGGCAAAAGTCGTTCCCTTACGTCAGCATAATCATATGCTTTCGTTGCAGTACCTGCTTGGGTGATACCGTGAGAGTCATCCCAACCATCATATGGTGGATACAACTCCCCCACCCAGGCGTGTCAGGAAGGACATACGCGATCTAGGGAGGGAGGTCCAACGCTATAAGAGAGAACCTCTAGATCAAGAAGCCTATCAGGCAGGTCTGACAAGCATTCATACCAATGCAGTCGCGGTTGCTATAAACAGCTATAAAATGAATGCCGCCCTCGGAATCCACCCCCATTCATTGCAGCGGAAGAACGCTAGCTGCCCAGACAAATCAGGGTAGTTTTGGCGCAATTACGTTCAGGATGATGTAGTCGTCTCAATTCGTATTGGGAAGGAATTGATGAAGATGTGCGTGGAGCCTGTCCGGCGTGTGATACATGCCCGCACAATACGCTGCACCTCTTTAATTGCACAGCCAAGCCTACCCAACTCACTCCAGAAGATCTCTGGCTACAGTCCATTAAAGTAGCAGAATTTCTAAACCTACAGCTGGAATCAGATTAGCAGAACGCAAACACTCACATGTACTACTGCTACAACAACTACAACCGCTTTGGCACTAGAAGTCTCAGACCCCTCTGGATGCGCAAAACAAGTGCAGAGCATTTTGAACACGTTATTGAATGTGGATCTTGTGCTAGTTGGTGTACAGAATTATTTTTTTCTTGACCTGCACATTCATCTGCGTTCTCATCTATGCAGTCCTTTCATTGCAGCTAGAGAATGTCGGCTGTCTAGACATGCCAGAATAATTTTTGGCCCCAATAACGTACAGAATAATGCCCTGCCAAATCTACCCCACTCCGGAAAATCTGTGGCTACAGCACATCAGAGTAGCTGCATATAAAAACAGAAACCGATTAGCAGATCTTTGAAAGCTAAATATATACATATAATTGCTACAGCAATTGTTTCAAATTTGATATTTAAAGTTCGTAATGGATACAACAGCCTAAGACAGAAAATTGTCTGTCTTCGTAGAGCCCCCATATAACAGTACCTTCCGATATTCAGTATTTTAATGATTTTAAGGAAATTTTTCACCAGAATTGTCTCAAATTTGGTATTTGAAGTTAGTAGTTGTTACTACAGCCTAAGACAGAAAATTGTCTGTGCAGATCCACGTCTTCGTATAGCCCCCATATAAGGGTACCTCCCGATATTCGGTATTTTGATTTTGTAACCGATTTTTTTTAAGTTTCGCATTTGAATATTGTACTGGCTTATGACAAATGTTATGTTATGACAAATGTTGAGGAAACATGAAGACCAAACCAAGCCATCGTTCTATTTCCATACATACCTGTATGAAAGACATTTTAGCAAAATTGTACCCGCCCAACGCAGCTAGCGTGAATATTGTGAGCTATTGCACGTGACTCAAATGAAGGCGTAAGCCATGAAAAGGAAAATATCTTCGTAGTTTTATGGCGTTGTGCGCCTTGCTTTGTTGCAACATTCATTAACATACTTCAATAGCTTGAATTGACGACATCCTTACTTCCTTCCGGGATTCTACACTTTTGCAAGCAGCAATCATCATTAGCGCACAAAGAGGAAGACAAGAGAAAAATATGTACGACGACACACTTGTGTCTATGGAATGCTACCTATCTTTTTCCCGACACTGAAGTTTCACAATATGAGCTGCTGCTCCTACACATAAAATATCCGACAATATTGCATACATAAGCACATATAATCCACACAAGAGACAACACAATCATGCACCATACATACGATTTTATTGTGTTTTTCTTTTAATGACTGGGGCGCGACGACTGCAACACAGCACAGCTTTTGTTTTTTTGTTGATTGCAACCAGCAGAATAAGAGTTATGCCCAGCCAGACAGCAATTGGAAATTCTATATCGGAAGTTGTCTATTGAACGAACGACGCAATTGATCGTCAATGGAATACACAAGTTTTGTTGCCCAATTCAGTTCTCACACACTCCACTCCACTCGTCAGACAAACAATCAATCAATGAAAAAAGAAATATTTCTTCAGCCCTTTTTTGCACTGCGGCGAGCGATCGTTGATTTTGTTAGCCTAGCCGATACTACTTCTCGTATCTTATTATGAGTCAACACGGCGCACACCAGCAACGCTGCTCGCTCTGCCCCGACGAACAACAATGTCCGGGGGAAAACTAAATGTGATAACATGATAAGAAAAAAAAAATAAAAAGAACTGCCAATCGAAGCAAAAAACAACACACAAAGAGACACCAATTGGGAAAAGAAGAAGAAACAACAACAATTCCAAAAGCATAGTTAACGATTTGAGGCAATTGTTCGTTCATCACGTCTACGTCCCTTACCAACTCCCACCCGATTAATATGGACAACATACATAAGAAACACTCACACACACACACACACCCAACAAAACTCCTACAGTCATACAATCGCGGAAAGTCAGCGCACAACCAACCAAACATGTATGTTTTTGTATGCAAGCAAGCGGGAGGAGCTGTTTTGTTAAACATTGCATTGCGATTGAAAGTCTGATTTCCAAACTTGTTTTTAGGAATTTAGCACAAGAATAATTGAAATATCTACCATACATAGAGACACAAACAAGGCAGCGAAAGAGCCACGGCTAAAACACACAAGAGAAACAACCTCATTATCGTCATTATTTTTATTGTGTGTGGGTCTCCAGCAAGTTGCTAATAGAGGATTTAAATAGGGGATAAGCTACTATTCATTGCAATTGTTTTTGCCAATGTGCTTCGCATCTAAACAACAAAGAACCAAGTACGAATTTTCATGAGGGGACAACATATTTAGGCGACATTTTCCCCACTCCGTTTTTTCTTTTTTCAAGGAAACACACAAACAATTTCAATATTCTCATCATCATGATTCTTCTTTGTTGACTGCTTCTATTCACCGACTTCATTATTAACGTCAACGTCTCCGCCACCGCCGACGTTGCTGTCATCATTTTTATATTTTTTCTGCTTCTTCTTATTCTTCATTACTCTGATGTCTCAACCAACTTTTCACTTTAGAATTTTCTCTTTTCCGCATCACGATTTTTTTTACAATTTATTCACTTCAATTTTGGCACATTCATTAGCACGTCTAGAATTTGTTAATATTTTGCCATTTTTAGCAATATTCTCGTTAATTTACTTACATTTTTAACAAGAAGTTTATGGGTTGGGCACAGATCAATTCGTCGTATCTAGAGAACCGAGCTAACAATGAATTTTGAACGGCGCAGACGATGCTTGGTGTCAAATATAACGGCGTCAACTGGTGTGTCATTTTTGCCGATAGTGTTGCATTTGAAAGCTGCTGGATGTGTGGATGGCATCTAAAATATATTTACAATGACTGCGTTTGGCGTTTTATATACTCCTATTTCCCCAATAAGGCAAAATGCTTTGTACAGATAATGGTAGATGTATCTACGCTTGGGAACATTGATATGTCAAAAATGTTTAAATGTTTCTTCAAAAATAAATATGTATGTACATGTTTTCCTATACGGAGAATAGGGATTCTGTTAAAACATATGTATATACAGCTTGTATATATGTGTATTATTTTAAATTGAAAAGAAAATAAAATTATAAAATTATTTCAAATTTAGATGCAACAAAAATGCATATTTTCCACGTTGTCAGACAACAAAATGTATTATTTTGGGATAAAACAACATTGTCCCTCAAATTTGTAGAGAAATCCCAGTATTTCATTCATATTTTGTGGGGTTTCCCCAATGTAGAAATTTTGTTGAAAAAGTGAAAGGATCAAAACCAATTGTTGCATGTTTAAAAATATACTTGACACTATAAGACTCCGGTACAGAGTTGCATTTTTCTTGTTTCTTGGAAGTTAAGCACTTGTTCTTACTGAGCCATGAGGTAAACCTACTTTAAGAGGATTTATTTCAAGCATAAGTTATGGATAGGAAAATTTTAATCCAAATTCACGCAGTGTTAAGCTCGCTCAAAAAATTTTAAACTTGAACGAAACGCTATACTTTATTTAATATATACTGCCCAATGCTCATGGCAAAACAATGGAGGTAAACTTATTCGCTAAATCGAAAATGGAAACCATCTTCTGACGAACTCACTTTTCAATTAACAGTGTATTTACCAAATATGGGTATTTCTGTGGAGTAGAAAGCTGGTTATACTGCTGTTTTGGACAGAAAACTATTCCGTGGAATTCGAAATATTTTACTCTCGTTTTGCAGATGTGGATAAGGAAAAAGGAAAGGAAATAAAACGAGCGTATTAGTTTTGTTTGAAAGAACAATTCTGGTTCTTTATTTAGAATTCAAATTTGAAGATTTGAATAGCGCTTACCAAATTCAAACAGTTGTGGTTGACGTTAAGGTAACAAGTGATTTTATTTGGAACAAAGGAAAATCGAAAAACCACAGAGAGGACACAAACGGACATATTGAGTGATTGAGCGCTACAGCACAAGCACAACTTACGAGTGCGCGCGAAACTTAACTTTTGAATTAGGGTGACCAGATCATCAAACTTTCGCATGAACATTACCGGCCCCCTTGCAGTATCACTGCAATAAAAGAATGAAACGGAAAACCCGTGTGTGTCCCCACTGCTTACAATACAAGCGATGTAAAGTAATGAATGAAATGGATATGAGATTATAGTAAGTAAGAAATATAATGATGAAACAGCGGGAGGATTACATCTAACATCAGCGCCGAAAGGAATCCGAACTCGCATCTGTAACTTCAGGAGGGACATCTGGAAAGATAAAGTTTGTGCTTTGGGGGAAAAGGAAAACAATAGTGCATTCTTCAGTTCATGTTTATTAGTAATTCATTTGAGTTTAGAAAAGAGAATAAAAAAAAAAAAATAGGGATGTCCCAATTATGAACATAGCCCATATATCGCCCAGCCAAACACCGTGCTCTGAGCCGTTGGCAACCCGCTCCTTGCATATACCCCTTCAGACACGACCTTCGGATATAGGTCTACTCCAATCACTATGTCGACCCCTGCAGATTTATAAAACGTGGGGTCTGCAAAGAACAAATGAGGGAAGTTCCTTTTGAACTCCTCCGGGAGCGATTCAGCTGGCGTCTTTGTCGTGATCCGATTGTCAACCCGGAATGTGCCCTCAATCTTCACCTTCGAATCAAACCTCGAAAATAATGTCAGTTGGCATACCGTCTCCTCTCTCAGGGTCAGCGTGTTGAACTTTATCTTCTCCACAAACGCTCTCGAAACTCTGCTGACCGGCGAAGCGGAATCCAAGAGACACCTGGCCACATTCTTCGCATCAATCCTCACCAGGACGGTAGGCAACAAAATGGTCCGATTCTGCTGGATCAAAGATGTTAGGGACCCCCTTTTCGCTGGTGCCGGTGCAGACGCAGGTTGGCGACGAGCCGCCGTAGAAGTCGACGGCTGCGGTGAAGGGGACCGAGAACTGGCTCCGGAACTAACCGAGGGCGCATGTCGTGGTAAAATCTGATCGCGGACTTTGGGATTGACGTGAAGGAGAGTGTGGTGAAACTTCTTGCGATGGCGACACCCCTTGTCACTGAAGCACGACCCATTTGAGTGATCTACTGCCAAGCAATTCACGCAGTATTTGTGCTGACGGACAGTATCTAAGCGTTCCGACATGTTCATATCCAGGAACTTGTGGCATCGACGCAACGCATGAGGACGCTGGCAGAGAGGGCATAGAAACTGTCGTTTATATGGAGCTGGATTGGAATGACTGCGTTTATTGTTGTTGGAAACGTGTTTGGGCATGGTAGCTAAGGACAAGGTAAGGACAGAACAACATAGGACGGAAAGAAATAAAAAGAAATTCGGAACTTAGTTATCGGAAAGGACAACAAGTTTTGTAATTGGACGAGTGATAACGCCTTTCTGAGTCACAAGATCTGCGACACGAACATGGCCATCAGAGCCGCGATACGTCTTGGAAACCCTACCCAGACGCCATGAATTTGGCGGAAGATTCTCATCATATATGGCGACCAGTGTGTTCTCTTCAATATCTTTCTCAGGAGTCTGCCACTTGTGGCGCTTTTGAAGCTCACGGAGATACTCTGTTTTCCACCGAGCACAGAAACTCTGATGGATCGCTTTCAAACGTTTCCAACGATTTATCAAGGAAATTGGACTCTCATCAATATTTGGATCAATAGGAGCTAAAATGGGAGTCCCGATGAGGAAATGACCTGGCGTCAACGCAGCAAAATCAGTTGGATCGCTGGAAATAGGAGACAATGGACGAGAGTTTAAACAGGACTCAATTCTGGAGAGAAGTGTCGAAAACTCTTCAAACGTGAACTTGTAGGAGCCGGCGAACTTTCGGAAATGGGTTTTGAAACTCTTAACCCCAGCTTCCCAGAGGCCACCCATATGAGGTGCTCCGGGTGGAATGAAGTGCCAACTCAGATTTTGGACGGAAAAAATTTCTATTAGCGCTGTGCGAGAGGCTTGGATAAATTCTCTCGCCAGTATTTTGGACGCCCCCACGAAGGTCGTACCGTTATCTGAATACAGATGTGCTGGACATCCGCGCCGTGAAACAAATCTATGGAAAGCCGCCAAGAACGTGGGAGTGGAAAGATCGGATGTTGCCTCCAGATGAATCGCTTTGGTCGAGAAACAAACGAAAACGCACGCATACCCTTTCGTGATCCGACATGCGCGACCGCAATAGCTCTTGATCTCAAAAGGGCCAGCGAAATCGAGGCCCGTGCGAGCGAAAGGACGAGAAATTTCAGTGCGCTCAGGAGGGAGCGCAGCCATGATCTGTCTTTGACATCGTTTCTTATACAGAAGACAAGTGCGACACTTATTGATCGTTGTTTTAATCAGGTTCTTGACTTTAGGAATCCAATACTGGGATCGTATTAATCGAAGAACAAGCTGATTTCCACCATGAATAGTGATATTGTGAATGAATTGAACGTAGAAACGAGCTAGCTTGCAATTGTATGGAAGAATGATTGGACGCTTCTCATCATCAGGAATGCCAGGAGCCGATTCTAAACGTCCGCATGAACGGATAATCCCCTTAGAGTCAAGGTACGGATTCAAGCATAGAAGGGAACT